TGCGTCTATGTTTTGGTTTCTCAACTCTGGAAGTATAAAACTTAACTTCTATTAGATTTCACCTTACTTTATTAACCATATCACACAAAGTGCAATTTGTGCCATGATGAGTGTAGCTGAATTTATTTAAGTGAATTTATTGAATGATGAGTGTAGCTGAATTTATTTGAGTTGTACAGTCAATTCATAATTTTAACTCTCTCATGTGTACCTTTTCAGGATGTAAGCATTATTATTGTACATGTTCTTACAAAGATGAGATGGCGTCAGTGTTCATGGAGACGGCGGACTGCTTGCGGTGACACGCGGGAAAGTTTACGCTTCGGCGGCCCTTTTTATTGTCCTGACGCGGCATGACCGGCACGACCGAGCCTCCCTTAATTTAGTGAGACTCAGGACAGCCATACAGCGTTGGCAGTTCATTTGGACCGTTTATAGATAATTGACGTTTAATTCATGACCATGCACTGCCTGCCTCCATTTACTTTTGTAGAATATGTAAGTTACTAGTAATATATATTTATTAATTTACTATTCATTGAAATTTGAAACTCGTTAACTTGATTACTCAAAGAAATTAATATTTAAACATCTGCCTAAAATCCTGAACAGTGTCTGAGCATATTGTATTCATATCAGTACCATGAAAAAGTGTTATTATTATGAAGTAAGTTCGCTAGCTGCTCCCGCAGAGAGCCGCAAACTGCACAGTTTGAATTCTCGGCAACAGCGCCTCATAAGTACAGTGAACTTGTCCTGCCGCTGCCGCGTCTCCCGCCTTGTTTGATGTCAGTTAGTTCTGTGTTGTTGAATTATGTAAGCCAAATATATTTGTACATATTGAATTGATACGATTCCGTGAGTTCACATGGAATTGCAGGAATGAGAAGGTCACCGAACTAAAAACTATTCCGGTTTCAGATATTTATGATTGATCCGGGATATTAAGATTTCTTGGTTATTTGAGTTTACTTGCAAGCTACTAACGTTCCAAGTCCAAGAAAATAGTTTACGTTCAACAATCATTTTTCTGAGAAGCTGAAAGAAAACTTTCCACGGTAAACCCTCAACTAGCCATGTCACAAAATGCTAATCGTAATTAGGTTGGAAGAGAAATCAAATTAATGTAGCGAATGCGAGAAATATGCTATTTGTGTATGTTAGAGCCGCAAACCGCACAGTTTGAATTCTTGGCAACAGCGCCTCATAAGTACAGTGAACTTGTCCTGCCGCTGCCGCGTCTCCCGCGTTGTCTGATGTCAGTTAGTTCTGTGATGTTGAATTATGTAAGCCAAATATATTTGTACATATTGAATTGATACGATTCCGTGAGTTCACTTGGAATTGTAAGAATGGGAACGTCATCGGAACAGAATTTAAATTAATATAGCGTATGCGACAAGTATGCTATTAGCGTTTATTATGTTGCATGGAGGTGAGTCAGCAAACAATGAATAAGATGATTCATGATGCTATTAGCGTATATTATATTGCATGGAGGTGAGTCAGCAAACAATGAATCTGGAACCCGTTTCTTTTGGAGGTTCATGTCCGCAGCGCACCAGCATTAGTACTATAAGTCCATTAATAAATGAAATTGTATTGTTACGTCGCACAACGAAGTGAAATATGAGCAGCTTTGAAAGTTTATAAACTGTTAATAAAATGTCGTTCACGTGAGTAATTAGAATGCTGAACAAGTATCGATATAATTTATAGTATAAGTAAAATTAGGAGATTATTTCAGACTAAATAGAAGGATATTGCAATGCAAGGTACAAATAATTAATACAATATAATAACTGGCACCCAGTACACCAGTGCTGGCCAGTGCAGGCCTCCCGCTGTTATGGCGCGCTGTTGCCTGCCACAACATTTGCCTCATTTGACCTGCAATAAATAATAAAGTCAGGAAATGTCAGCATCAGACAGAAGACTAAAAACTAAACCAACTTCTGGCCTAACAAATAGAAGATTAAACTTATTTTCTTGAAGTTTGCACCGAAGTCGCGTGTAAACAATTTAAATATTGAACTTCATCTTTCCTCGGAGTTAACAGTAAAGTTGCTCGTATGAGAACACAAAACTTTCTCATTTAAATGAAGTTTATTCCGAAGTCTCACAGCAAATTAATATTTCGTAGAACACCACAAAATAGTGAGCACAAGTCGATGTTTCACGAAAAATAAAAAGGATTTCGTGTTTTTTAAACAATTATTTCCTTTTCAAAGAGGCGTTTTACTTCATTTCGACGTGCACCACATGAACGTGATCTACGTTTTATGAAGCCAATTAATTTTATTTTAGGCAGTTATACTTTTATCGTCAATTACAGGCAGATGTTGGTCCTTTTAGCCCCTTGATCCACTAGATTAAAAGTAAACAAATACATTTCAATTTATCGCTATTAGACGTTACTGTATTGTTAAGTTTGTAATTTTACGATTGTCAGCTTAAAATAATTATAAATATAAATTAATGATTATATCATGAACAAAGCTGCAACAATTCAATAGACACCACATATAAGCTACTGAGTAGCCTTCAAAATTTTTATATTTTTTTTGCATACCTATTGCTAGCATACTAGGGTAGGAAATTATTCGCCACATGTTCGTAGCTACTGAACATGTAATACTCATTTTGCCCAAACTAAACTATTTCAAGACAAACAGAATTTTCCGCCAATGCCCCACTATTCAAAACAGTGCATAAAAATAGACGACTAAACTACCTGTAATGTTAGTAAAAGGCATAATTATGTATATGGTATTGGCTGAACTGAAAATAACAAATAATAATTGGGCACATTTTCTCCACCCAAAAATCACCTAAGATCAAATTCCACGTAATTCAACCACAGAATGATTGGGGGACATTGTTGCGTCATTTATATGAAGCCTCATTTGCGGCAGAGAAACCATTAGTAAAATGTGAAGTGTGAATGTTTTCCATGTACTGAATTATTAATAATGTTGAATCGAGCTTGAACCGCTCTCCGTGAACTGTGTTTTCATCGAATTCATATACTTCTACTCATGCCGTCGTAATGTTTAATAGTCGAGTATCCAAAAAACACAAAGTGAAGATATCTTATTATAAATCCTTTTGAAGTTAAATTCGTTGTGACGAATGCGACGAGTCAGCGTTGTGGTGGTTTAAAGACATGAATTGATAACTTATCAAATAGTGTTTTAATTTTTTGGCTTCTCGTGTCAGGAAGTGAAACACCTAATTTTGAATTAGAATTTATCTTACGATTAAACCGTATTTATGGAAGCCTCATGTTCGGAAGAAAAACCTTTAATAAAGTGTGAATAATGAATGCATACCATATACTGAATTATGAATGATATTCAGTCGAGCTTTAACCCCTCTCCGTCAATGGTGCGTGGTCATCGAATTCGTGTATTATACAAATTTTCTCACCGTATTTTATCGTTGATTATCCGGAAAAACTTTGGAGAAATGTCCTATACCATAAGACACATAAATGAAATACGTCATTATGTAGAAATTATAAGACATGAATTAATAACTTAATTTCGGAAGAGAAGCTGCAGGGTCCTCAATCGTGCAACTGGAGGCAATACAGAGACTGGAGGCAATACAGAACTTGAGACTGGAGGCAATACAGAAGGAAATTTATCAGTTAGCATAAGACTTAATACCGATAATAGCTTTTAATATTTTTCTGTATGCGGTGTACCAATTTGAAGGCATGAGCGCAAGTTAGGCACCGTTAGGATGCTTACCAACCACACCGACCGCTGCTTGAATTGATGATTTCCTATAGCTTTTCTGTAAGCTTCAAATAATGAAGTTGGTAGACAATACCTTTTTAATTTTCAAACACACGACTCTTTTCAAACCTCATACATAAATAGTTACTGAGTATGTAGTTAAATTTTCATTACCAACTAAACTATTCAAGCTGCACCCTATGATATAACTCCGTCCGTGGCAGCCCAAAACATGATTGCACAAAGGCTCACGAAACTTAAGACTCTCATTACCATTTGTTGACAAAGTCACGGCAAAATAGCGGCAATTCTCACAGTTTTTTAAATTGCAAGCAATGATAATCAGGCATATAGTAATTGCCAACTTAACTGTTTACAGGGGCCATGAACGTGTCATGGAATAAACTTCCGTACAAATCATGACAGAACGAAAAAAATTAAGCCAAAGATCTCTTGTTAACATTTGCAAAAAAATAACAGCGTAAAATTTATGCAACACGCATTTGCTTTATTACATATAATAAATAATTATTTTACGAATCATCTTGTCTAACTTTGTCACTCCGGAGTGAAGATAGACGTACCAGAGCTCACTGGGAAGGTGGTTTTAAGTTTTCTCTTTGTTAGGAGCCCCTAACTCATGTAAATAGAATATTATCGTGAAAATGTATGAAATATAACCGTACGCTTGATCTATTGAGCAATGTTTTGAGAATGCAGATTTATTCCAATGTAATGGCCAAATGCTTCTGATAATTAAATGTGATACGGATTCAAGGGAGTGGCCACTTTACGTAATTATTCATATTAACAATACGCCATACGGCCATACGTGTAACAATACATGTAACAACACATGTAACAACACGACATGTAACAACACGACATGTAACAACACAACATGTAACAACACGACATGTAACAACACGACATGTAACAACACGACAAGTAACAACACGACAAGTCCTCCCGCGTCTACCAGAACCTGCAGCACTCCGCCGGCACTCACCCTGTGTAGGCTCCCATGTCATGCTGTTTATGTCCTCAGAGATGAATAAATTATTGTATTATCCCTTGTGTAATTTTCTCAGCAGTACAAGACTGTCCAGTTTTTGGTAGAGGTGTCAGTAATCGACGGTATCAATCGAATAGAATAATAATAAGCATGAACGCCCCTAATTTATTAATTCCTCTTGAATGATGGACTGGTTAAGTATCAATTATGTGATTATTTATTGTGATTCCACTTCAACACAGGCCTTGCAGTTGCCGCAACTGTGCTTCCAAGAAAGCCTGCTCCTCTGGCCCAGGATCGGTGGCTCCTCCAAACCATCTCGTTATCAATGCAGCTCAGCGGGGCGCTTCTGACGACGGCACGCTTGAGCAGAACCTCAAGCCTGGTCTCTCGGCTCATGAGACTAGCTCGGATGCTGCCGCCCCAAACGAACATGAAGAAGACGAACAAAGAAGGCATGTAGATATACCATAGAACATTTGCGTTTTGAATGCTGTAAACACGCAATTGTCATCTGAGATCCCATTCACGGATTAGGTTAGCCCCCAGCCTACTGAAACTATAGTAGACATTTCAAATGCCAAGCCTTTAGCACAGACTCCTGATTCATTCCAATTTCGTCTACTATATCAGCCAAAAAGCGTAAGAGAGAAGAAAATGAAAAAAAAACATCTATTGGAAAAGTGGACAAAAGATTGGAATGGCCTAAACACAAGCAAATCCGCACCCTAAAAAGCTCTGATTCTAGATCAGACAACACCCCTTTGAAGAAGCAAAAACCTTCAACCAAAGGCAAAACTACGTCTGTCAGCTCCAATGTGTCTCGAGATTTTGCACTGTCTCAGGAAAAAAAATGATTGATCTGCCAGACACAAACCAGCACTCATTATCGATTGAGAACTCGCCAGTTGATGATGCTACGCCGGTTGCGTTGGGCACCAAAAGAGAGTCACTCCCGGCACACCGGAGGGTCTTAAAAATGTTCAAGCTGATGCGGCAGTCTTTAAAAGAATGCGTGATGCAAAGTAAGTGCAATCGGTCATGAATCAGCTGAATGCCCAGGATTTATCTGAAGAGACAATACTGATGAGCTTATCGGAGTCTTACTCGTCCAACGTCAAGCAAGGAAACTTGATTCCGTCTCCAAGATTGAGATTCACAATATAATCTCCTCATGAAGCACGTTTATTTTATTGAATTTTACTGAGCAGGACTCAAATTGAAACTGAAACCGCTTCACCCAAGCCCCGAACCACTGAGCACACACAACTTCCACTCGCCCGCAAGGGCAACTCAAACAAATCAATGGCAACACGACACCCCGCCTACAAAGAGCACATAACAGACCGTTAACACTTTCTAAGTGCAAAAAAAAAAAATAGATAATATAATACAATACAATAAAGTCATCGTAATTTTGATCATTTGGCAAACTAATAACAGTTAAAAGTCGAATAATCCTAAACTAATTCTAAAGTTTAGGATTAGGACTCCAGCACCGTGCGAAAAAAGTTAAAAAAAAAGTTTAGGACACCAGCACGGTGCGAGCGACGATCTTGTGAGTTTGTCTCAGGGGGTTTCTCTGCCCTTCAAGTTGCAGGTGGCAGGTGAGACGGTCTCAATGTCGTGGCTGTTAGTCCAATTACTCAAATGTAATTGAAGTGATGAAGAAGTCTGCAATTTTCTTCGAAGCAAAATATGTAGAATTATTTAATTAATTTTACGCACATGCTACGAAGCTGTTTGGATCGCGCTAGAAAGATGTGGTTTAGTTTTGTTTATAAAAAAACGTTTCTGTTGAGGGCCGGCGACTTGAGTGATGTGGCTTTGTACTCGGCATTGATGGTAGCTTAATATTTTCATGTAAAAAAGTGGCTTTTTGAAACCCCTCAGTCACTCTTGGAATTATTTTCGTTTTCTACTTGATTCAGAGGGTAGACTTGTTAATTTTCATTGTGTAGATGCAATCCCATAACCGCGCTTCATCCTCAGTCCGAGTAGTGAGGATGGAGGAAACAAACAGCATAGGAATTCAGTTGATAAAATTACCTATGTAAAACGCATGAATTTCCATAACGAAAAAACGTTTCAATTTTCAACTGGAATCTTAAAAGATAATCGAAGAATGAATTAATTGATTTTGCACGAGTTTTTATTGCAATCTTTGAGGAAATCAACATGCTGGAAACTGCTAGGTGATTGATAAACGTTCAGACCAATAAGTTAGCCGAATAAGTTATAAAAGAGTATTTATTTATTTAAATAATAATGAATAGATTCAATGAAACATATATTTAAACCGTTCAAGTTGACATCAGCTTTCCGATTACAGCCCGATCTTACTTGGTGTAATTTCATTCTAATTAATAACTAAATCTGTCTATTGATCAACTGCTTGTAGAGCTTCAGTTCATAAATGATTGAAAGGTCTGCGCTTAATTCGGTAACGATACTGAACTAAGCTGAATGCATTATTTCTCAGCAGTTGGTGAGCGACGATAGCTCAGTTAGAGATGATAGAGATGGAACCTCCACAAATATACATTCAATGGGAGGTGTTCAGTAGCTTTTTATATGATAAGTTCCATATATCTAAAGTTAATGGTAATTAAGATAAAAATAATTGATTAAAAATTTGAGGCGCATTACGAAATCGTCGCGAAAGGGTCTACTTGCTTAAATCTAAGATTGCGTCATAAACAATTGCTGCTTAATAATTAATTAAAAGAGATTGGCATTGCTAAGTCACAGCAGAATTTTACACTGTTATATTTTAGCAGAGGTGGGCAGTAGCGCGCTACATGTAGCGGCCGCTACATTTTCAGTAGCAGTAGCGGCGCTACATTTAAGGCAATGTAGCGGTAGCGCCCGCTACATATTTAAGTAGCGATACGAGGTTTTGCCGCTACAGCGCTACCGCTAGATTTACAGATAAAGCCTTTAGATTTCGACGAAAACTTGAGGTCACGGACAGACGGACGGACAGACAGACAAACGGACATGGCGAGCACAATAGTGCATTTTTTCCATAAATGAGGAAATGCGCTAAAAATATATCAGTTTAGGCATTGATTGATTAGGTATCAGCGGGATGCTGATGCTGATCTTATTTGATCAGCATTATAGACAGTGTATATATAGACACAGTTAACATCCACTTTATTTGAAATTGTATTATAAAAAAGTGTATTGTTATCGGAAAAAAATGTCGCCTAAAGCTACATGAAGCATTTTGATCTCGTTTATATGAATATGGAAAAGAATGCGATATTATCGGACGAAAAGGCGTCAAGTTGGTTATGAATGGAATATGATGGTAAGCAAGTTTTATGTCTGTTTTTATATTTGTCGCTGCTTAAATGCTGGTAATTTATTAAATGATGCGTAATAAACAGTTTCTCTGGCATCATTTTTGACGAATTTAATTGTTTGACTAATTCTTTTGCTGCAAATGGACTCACTACGGATAATTGAGTCAGTTCATGATGAGTTTTTGTAAATCATCTGAGAATTTATTAGACTGTAATATTCTATTTTATTGCAATAATATTCTTATATAATATTTATTAGACTATAATATTCTATTGATGCACAGTCCAACGAACAACACCAGCTTTCTTTTCTCCACACCCAGGACAATGTTGGTACCAAAACATTATGGTTACCCTAAGAAATCTTCAGGTTTTTATAAAGCAGCGAGCATCATTACCAGAATCTCTAATTCTGCCTAAACTCTTTAATGTTCAACTTAGCAAATTTGGACACACTCTTTTCATCCTCATTCGAGTAATAGGGATTAGGTCACTAATAACTTGGCACTGATCACATCAAATTATCAACGTTCAACACATGAACTTTCATTTCGACAATAACGGTAATTATGGACTAGGAGCGCGCAATTAAACTAATCATCAGTTGATTCGCCGGCTGAGACATTACTAGATGAGAAGAAATGTTAACTAAAAACTGCAATATAGTCGATGAACCTCATCAAACTTATGAATTAAAAAATCACAAGCCACATCGTGAATTTAAAAATATCAAAACTTCTTCACACAACATTTTCATTCACTATTCTTACAAACATGGTAACTTCGAGAGGTCAGTGTGTCCTAATCAACAATTATATATCATTGACGACTCGTTCAAATAACTAATAAGTATAGACTGATTATGTGTCAAATATGTCTATTGATTAACTGCTTATAAATCCTCACTGCGTGAAATAATTATTATTTAGTTTGTGTTGATTGCGATAATTTCAAAGAAACATACGTATATGGCGTTTGGGGTCCAAGAATAATTTAGTTAAGGATGCAACTTACCGCTCGGATGACAATTTTGCGAGTGGTATTCAGTAGTTACGGATTGATTGCAGCATCGTCTTTCAAATTTAATAGAACTAAAGAGGTTTTAAAGTCTTTATTTTTATTCCGCGATAAACACCAGCATCGTTACCCTTGCGAAACGGAGGAAGAGATGGCTCTCTTTTCGCTGTTACCCGTATAGCTTGGCATTAAGACTTATAGACAGAGCTTGTCTCATCAATCCACCATGGTTTGTCGTACCCCACATATGCTTGCTGCCAAAACAGTGTAATGGCGTCAAATGAATATAAAATATCAAATCGATTTGACGAAACGTGAAATTTGCGAATCATTCAATGAATAAATTGCATCCGTAGTGAGGTCGTCTTGTGAATCATTCAATTAATTATAATACCGCAGATGACCTCACTACGGATCCAGGAGGCACATTCATGATGCACATTCTTTCGGTGACTGTAGTCATAACCTATCACTACCAATGCGTCGCCCGAACAGTCCTACACAACTACCGTACATGACACATAAGTCGCCACTATAAATTTAAAAGCGACGAAAACTCCACAAAAATTCAACATATCTCTATTGAGAAATGACTCGGGTTTGGATGAGCGGTCAATTAATTTGTTAATAAGTTCATAGCAGCGTTGGTCGCCAGCCAAAGTAACTAAGTAAGTAACTAAGTTACTTTAAGTAAGTAACACAATGTGTTAGTCACCGTAACTCAGTGTTTGCCACGGTCACCGTAACTCAGAGCTTGCTACGGTCACCGTAACTCAGAGCTTGCTACGGTCACCGTAGCTCAGAGCTTGCTACGGTCACCATAACTCAGAGCTTGCTACGGTCACCGTAACTCAGAGCTTGCTACGGTCACCGTAACTCAGTGGTAACGTCTGTTGCCTAGGGTAACTCCTGTTATCTAGGGTAACGTCTGTTACCTATGGTAACGTCTGTTGCATAGAGTAACTCCTGTTACCTATGGTAACGTCTGTTGCATAGAGTAACTCCTGTTAACTATGGTAACTCCTGTTACCTATGGTAACGTCTGTTGCCTATGGTAACATCTGTTGCATATGGTAACATCTGTTGCCTATTCGTAACCTGTTACGATTGGTAACATAGGCATAGGTTACCATAGGTAACAGGCATTAGGTGTTTGACTCACTTCTGTGCAGTTGTTTGACTCACTTCTGTGCAGTTGTTTGACTCACTTCTGCGCAGAATTTTGGCTCACTTCTGTGCAGTTGTTTGACTCACTTCTGTGCAGTTGTTCGACTCACTTCTGTGCAGTTGTTTGACTCACTTCTGTGCAGGATTTTGACTCACTTCTGTGCAGTTGTTTGACTCACTTCTGTGCAGAATAATGACTCGCTGGACGTGGTAGAGTCGTGGATCGAAGTGGCCAACATGGCGACTGATGACGCTGAACAGCGCATGGTTCAACAGGAAGAAGAATCAAGAATCGTCAGCACTCTGCAGCAGGTATGCCCCTACAGCCCTTATATATTGCAGTGATAGGCTTATAACCTACAAACAAACACATTAACTTTCACAAATACCTATCCCTACAGCACCTATATATTGCAGTGATAGGCTTATAACCTACAAACAAACACATTAACTTTCACAAATACCTATCCCTACAGCACCTATATATTGCAGTGATAGGCTTATAACCTACAAACAAACACATTAACTTTCACAAATACCTATCCCTACAGCACCTATATATTGCAGTGATAGGCTTATAACCTACAAACAAACACATTAACTTTCACAAATACCTATCCCTACAGCACCTATATATTGCAGTGATAGGCTTATAACCTACAAACAAACACATTAACTTTCACAAATACCTATCCCTACAGCACCTATATATTGCAGTGATAGGCTTATAACCTACAAACAAACACATTAACTTTCACAAATACCTATCCCTACAGCACCTATATATTGCAGTGATAGGCTTATAACCTACAAACAAACACATTAACTTTCACAAATACCTATCCCTACAGCACCTATATATTGCAGTGATAGGCTTATAACCTACAAACAAACACACCANTTTCTGCTCTATCGCTGCTCTGTCGCGTCTCTACGCCGGCTCTGCAGCCGGCGACGGCCTGCTCTATTCCCTGCCCTAAATTTTAACTGGGATATACTGCAGTGATAGGCTTATAACCTACAAACAAACACACATTAACTTTCACAAATACCTATCCCAACAGCACCTATATGTTGCAGCAATAGGCTTATAACCTACAAACAAACACACATTATTCTCAAATACCTATAATAAAATCTTGAGCTTTTATCAGGAGATGTATTATTATTTCATTACTGCAGTACAGCTCGTAAGATATGAGCTACTGCTCGTTTCATCTCAAAATGACAGCTATGGTCACCTTGATTTGTTTTTTTTTTACTTTGTTATATTAACTATACTTTTCAGTGTACCATTATTGATTATAACCATGTAAAATGTATCAGTAAACTTATGTATTGGTAAAACTTAAATTTCTTGCCATAATTTCATATTATCTTTTCACAAACATTACCTCACTTACTAGCAGCTTTTTTTATTGTATCGCTGAATTGTGCTCTTTATTTGTTCTTGTATAACATTTCCTATTTATTTATTCTATTTTCTTGCATTTTCTTCCTCTTGCCAGTACCATTCACTGATATTTGAATTAATTTCCAGATTTTGTCACCATTCCTGTTTCATCGCGATTCAGATGATTCAGATGATTCTCAAGGCACTGACTACCAAGAACACACCATCATTCCGACTGTTTTGAAGAACAAGCGCAACCAGGCGGACTTGGCTCATCACAAATTTGACGTGGCGGTGCAAACTTGTTTCCCTCGTCCCGCAATGGTAGAAGTAGGAGTCCAGGTGCAGGCAGGGCCCATGCTGAGCAAGGCCGTGCAGACAGTGCGCACCGCGACCACCAGCGTCGCTGTACAGGCGCAGCTGCCGCCCGAGGGCTCCATCGTTGCCGGGGTCATTCCTTTTGGGGCTGTGGGTGCCAACTGCAGCGACAGGTGATGGTTCACGAAAGTGCACGGCTCGAACTTTTTGACGTTTACTTTACTTTTTCTTCTTTAGAATTATATTGAAATGCATCAAACTTTACAACTCGATATGAATTTGTCTAAACAATTCATGTCTCACTACATCGGGTATTAGGGTAGAAGAATTGCATACAACTAAACTTCCGAAAGTAGTAANACAACTGTCTCTTATACACATCTTTCTGTGGATTATTTTTAGTTTTTTTTTAATTGCTTTGAAGATTGATTTATCAGAGGATTTTTATTTTAAATTTATTAAGTGGATGTTGGAATGTTCTGTTTTTAGTTTATTTTTCTCGACTTATTTGTCCGTTGATGTAATATTCGCGTCAAATATCTACCTAGTTCATTACTGACATGCGGTCGAATATTCTTCGATATTTCTTTAGTTTTGTGTTGTTTTATGCGGATGTTGTTTTTTTTACAAATTTGAGGTAAATAGGAACTATACAAAAGTCCACTGTGCGTATCGTTTTGCTAGACGAGTTCTTAGGTTCTTTACTATCACTGCTATTCCATGTACTCCGTGGAATATATCGTAATTAGCTAGATTTATATCAAAATTTTCAGGAAATAGACAGCCTGCAGGCTAGAAGTGCCTATATATCGTTTCGCTTTGTAGTTGTCATATTCCAACCTTTACTGCATTTCATAATCTCAGGTTATTCATGGAACCAAACATGACATTCTCGATTTTTCCTCATTTTTATTATACTTATATAGTTGTATAAATATGGACAGTCTGTGATTCAATGAGTAAGGAAGCAATTCAGTCAAGTCGCTACATTTATCGAGCAGCAGATCAACCTTCATTAGGGAGGTTGGGAGGTTTAAACACATTCGCTGAGAGCGTTTGGTGTAGTGTAGTGCTCGTGAGTCTGAATTATCTTCATACCAAGCATCTGATATTGAAATAATGTCAGTTAGATGTGTTTGTAATAAAATGAGTTGGTAAACAACGTTGTTTCATTGCCATTTGCCAGTAGGGATATCGCGTGCTCCTGTTGCCGCGTAAGAGCGCCGACTCGTAAAGGCTACAACCAATTGCTACTGGAGTTACTGAAATGGCAGTTGTTTCGGGGCCGCAGCATTGAGGTGAAATCTCACTGTATTCTTTCTAGATTGTGTGAAGTGATCAATGTCGGAGTTGATTGTCTCATTATCAGAATGGCGGCTCAATATCAGAGTGAAGGCTCTTAATATCAAAGGGAAAAATCAATGTCAGAATGAAGGCTCTCAAATCAGAGTTGGTCCAGATGGTCGCTAAATTTAGGCCTTTTGCAAGCAGTGTGGCCAACACGATCTATGTTATTGCCGAAAATGATCGTTTAGGCCGTTTTTAAGATGACAGACTAAAACTAGTGTTGTTGGTTTGACTTTTCAAGAAAAAATATATATTCATTGTTTGCGTTTGCCATGAAAATTTTTGGTCATGACTCAAGATTCTAGCAAATATAGGACGAGTGGATTTGAATTCCGACGAGTATTAGTAGCTGCAAAAAACACTCGAAAATCATGTCACGATGGCAACAATGTAACTCCCGGGTTTTGTGAGTTCTAGTTGATAAATTGATGCAATGTTTAGGATACATAATGCTGATGACATTTTTCATGTGCATACGACTGAATCTCCGTACAGACGTGGAGCTGTTGGGACTGCTGTGACCATGGTTGAACTATATTGCTGCTGTGACCATGGTTGAACTACTAGTTCAACCATGGCTGTGACAACTGAATCTACCTGCAGATGCGGAGCTACATGGACGCGTCTCCGTCAGACAGTTGACATAAGAAATTCAATAAACATTAGATGAAAAGTAAAGCACTATCAAAGTTAATTAATCAGATTAGCAGGTAGTAAAATTATGGGAGACTCACAAAACATCTTTGCTATTAAAAGGATCACACCTAATTAAACTCACCAACAACTTGTGGCAGTTCCACTTAGTGACTCATCAATTTAGGGATCAGCAATTGCATTTGTATAGTCCTCTAAAATCACTATCACAATAATTAGCTAGTTGTCATGAATACAATGAATTTACTGGCTGAAAAGAACAAAAAGAAAACATACATTCAACAATAATTAATAAGTAAACATTAATTCAACAATAATTCATATATAGAGAGCAGATGGTTGGGTGAAAAATAAGGGTAGATGCCTCCCGGCAACAACATTATATTAAGACGTAGTACATTATATATGTACCCCAAGGTATGCATTACTCAAATAAATTATTGTTTTCAATGGCCCAATAGGGTTTTTTTCTCATAATTTTCTTCTAGCATTTCTGCTACTTTGGATAGCAAATCACATTTTTAAAAGCTATTATTCCACAAAAATTGTCAAATATTAAAAACTTATGCTGACTGATTTTGTCTATTATTTATACTCTAGCCATAATTAATTTGTTTTACTGGTTCTATTGCAATGGGTGAAACTTGGCATACTCAGTGAACAATGGGCAACCTCAGTCAATTAACAAGTCCGTATTACCCGTATTGACTGCATGGTAATGGATTTTTTTACTGCATGGTAAATGAATTTTTTTTACTGCAGGAAAAAGGAATTTCTTTACTGCACAGTAAAGGAAATTTTTTTGACTGCATGGTAAAGGAATTTTTTTTACTGCATTTTAAAGGAAATTTTTTTGACTGCATGGTGAAGGAATTTTTTTTACTACATGGTAAAGAAAATTTTTTTTGACTGCATGGTAGAGGAATTTTTTTGACTGCATGGCAAAAGAAATTTTTGTTTGACTGCATGGCAAAAAAAATTTTTGTTTGACTGCATGGCAAAAGAAATTTTTGTTTGACTGCATGGTAAAGGAAATTTTTTTTGACTGCATGGTAAAGGAAATTTTTTTGACTGCATGGTAAAGGAAATTTTTTTGACTGCATTGTGAAGAAAATTGTCATTAGTTTAGTTAATTTTTGCCCCTACTTCTAATTAATTATTACTTTAATTATTTAGTTATTAATTTAATAATTACTAACTTTAATTATTTTTATTTGTTACTTTAATTATTTAAACTTTTAATTTTGTTGCACAGATTGCAGTGTTGTCAAACCATCTACTATGTCCATACTTTTGGCGCTATCTTGTTGTGGATGAGGGACATCGGATGAAGAATTATGAATGTCGTCTCGCCAAGTGAGTTTACCTTTCAATACTCAGTATAATCCTTTCACTATTTGCCCGGGATAGCTTCAACCGGAATATGATTTTTACCCCTCCAAATCATTTATTTATCTCAATCAAATAATTCCCTTGATATTATTTCAATCGTTGCCATTTAACATGTTGACCCCGAAGTGGTACATATACGTACCACAAAATGTATTTCTCCATGACGTAGTGGTACATAATTCTGGTTTGCCAGATAAACTAAAAAACAGCCAAGTCTGCAAACATAAGAAGGCAAAAAAAGGCTTATAACTCACTATATACCAGTATATTTGTAGGTTCTGGTGTAAAAATTAAATTTTTTCAGTTTTTAATATTTAATTAGGATGTAATCCTACCATAAATTTTAGCCGGCCAATGCAATTGAAAAACAAAAACTAAATCGCGTAATTAGTCCAGAAAAAAGACCGTCAGGGGTCAGGCAACCCTTTTTCACAATAGTACAAAAAATGAAATAGTACTACACGAAGCAATTGGAGTCAACGTGTTGAGGCCGGTGCTCTAAAGTGCTGTTAGTATAGTATTGTATCTTTGGCATTGTAGAATAGGCGTGTTGCTGATTCTTGTACTTTTCTTGGCTAGTTCACAGATCTAAAAGACTGGTCTTTTGATCAAACCTTTTTTTACAGACAGTAGGTTTGAAATAGTTTCTAGATATTCAGTTGTTGAGTAGGGTACTAGGCATTTCAGGACTAAACATATGCTTTTGTGCAGCCTTGTCTAGTCTGTTCTTGAACACATTCATACTTGGAGCATCAGGCTGTTCCACATGTTGGTGACTCAAAGTGAGAGAAAGTGTTGTTGCATGGTTGAGTTGTACTGCAGTTTTTTTAGTTTCTAGCTGTGGCCCCTGCTGTTGGTTCTTGTTTCAAATTTAAAATCATGGTTACTTTCAAATTCTGCCTTTGAACCATGAGTATACTTGTCTACTTCATCGAGGTCATCACGCAGGTATTGATAACAGACACTGAGAAGCTTCATGAACTTCAATCTTTACAAGACTTGCCTTTTAAGCATGGAATTATCCATGTTGCATGCCTTTGAACAGTCTTGTCTAAAATTTTGTCTTTTTACGGCTTTTGATTGAAATGTAGAAGTTGAATTAAAGTTTTGTAAAATAATGACACATTGTCATCCTATATAAAAGACCTATAATAATCAAAGATTACAAGTAAATTTTGGTGATTTCTCAAAATACTCAACTGAGATCTTTTCCTTGTGCATCAATAAAATCCTAGCTCTGCTAAGTCATTCTTATGAAGTTTCCATGGTTATATATAAATGTTGCAAAAATATGTTAGTTAGGCATGTGAAGTATGTAATTGTTTCGTAGGGAGCACAAATAAGAAATAGTTGGTGTCATTGTTTTGCCTGTTTGTTACATTTTTAATGTACCAAGTATGAATGTCAGAACTGAAGTTGTGAGAGACTCAGTCTATTGCACTTAGTGACCTGGGTTTAAGTCCCACTCAGGACAAGTTCTTCTGTAACTCTGGCTCATGGTCAACTCGGCCTTTTATCCTGGTTGATAAATGACTACCTGGTTGACAAATGACTACCTGGCTTGTAAAGGGTGTTGTGTAATGCATACAAATGATAAGGGTAGGTCAGCAAGCCAGTGATTGTCATGGAATTACCTGTAGCCATAGTGCTCTGAAAAACTGACCTATCACCCCTCCCTTACTTAGTTGCCTCTAACAGGATAAGAGATTACAACAACAACAATTTCAGATCTTAGAGCAACAATGATAAAGATAATTGTAATTCAAATCTTATTGTTGTGTTATATATTCTTACCTCATACATCATTGCTGCGTGCAATGTTTAAATAATTTGCCTTCAACTTTTTACTGTGGAGTATGAGTTTCCCCAAGTTAATCATGGTTTTTCCCAGCTGTTATAGTGAAAACTGACATCATTTTTGATTTTTTTTTCAGGCCTTATAAAAATTACCAGGTTCATTGATTTCACTTCTTGAAACCTATTCTGTGTTAGTCTACTAAGTTACTATGGCCACAGACAACACTCATGACAGCAATGATGAGGCAGATGCCCCTCAGCCATCAAAGAAGGCTCAACTGGAGAAGACTGTCCCAACCAAAGAAGAAACAAGTATGTTGCTATGTTACTTCAGTGTGCTTTGTGCAACTTGCGTTTGTTACTGAGTGTACAAATTAGTTTTTCTTTTTCACTTCAGCCCATGGACTCATATTTTTAATTTAAAGAAATTCTATTGTAATCCTGGATTTGTTTGCCATCCTGTAAAATTTTTCAGATTTGCTAAATACTAGTCGGCGTCGTTCTACCCGGTCCGTGCAGCGGTATGGACATTCTGAGGAGGAGACCAGTGCCACTGCTGAAGAAGATGCTGATGATTTGGATTTGCCAACTCTCCCTGACTCTGATGATGACCCAGACTTTGCACCTGTTGACAAAAAGGTTAGCAGTTAAGGACACTCTTCACTGCTTTGGAACTAATTTTTATCATAACTTTGCCCTGATGTCTTTGATTTTCAGTTTTCTGAATCACTTTGTGCTAAATAACAGCTTGTTTCTTCACAAATGACATCTGATAAAATCTCAGAGAATAGTTCAATTAGCTCTTAAAAATCTTCATGGAGATTGAATTTGCTTTACAAGCATAATTTTCAACTAAGATTGTTGATTTTGTTGATTTTGAAGACAATTAATTTAAAGCATTAATTTCAATGAGTAAAATTCACTAACTTTTAATTTTCAGTCTCAAATGATGATGAAGTTAATAAATAATAATAGTAAATAATGTTGAATCTAGAAATGTAGAATAAATTTGTTTTTTTTTTATAGCTTAATGATGTCAATTAGAAATTATATCGTGTATGAAATTATTTATGTTTTGAAATCTACACCAGGAAAGTGCAAGTCTCTCACAGTTCTCATTCAAGACCCGAGGAAGAGGCAAGGGAAGAGGTTCACCTGGTGGAGGCAGAGGAAAGTATTGTTCATGTCTAAACTCTTGAGATGTTTATGGGATTTAGGCGAGTTATGACAGACAGCCCCGTCTGTCATAACTCGTCTGAATCCACATAGCGTCCTTGATGTACATAGTGCCTAATTTCTCGTCTAATATTTGTGGGTTTAGCTTGAGAAGCCATCAGTGATTTGGCTAATGAAGTTAAAAAACTTTTAACTATTTTTGAAAATATGGCCTCTTGTTTGTAAAGTAATATAGCTGGCTGTGATCTCTGTTCCGTTATATTGAATGTCAAAGTTAATAAGTTTGTTCAGACATTTGGTCATTGACCTGTTACTTCCTAATTAATTGACCTGTTACTTCCTAATTAATTGACCTGTTACTTCCTAATTAATTGACCTGTTACTTCCTAATTAATTTTTGTTGATTTTGTTGATTTTGAAGACAATTAATTTAAAGCATTAATTTCAATGAGTAAAATTCACTAACTTTTAATTTTCAGTCTCAAATGATGACGAAGTTAATAAATAATAATGGTAAATAATGTTGAATCTAGAAATGTAGAATAAATTTGTTTTTTTTTATAGCTTGTTGATGTCAATTAGAAATTATATCATGTAGTATGAAATTATTTATGTTTTGAAATCTCCACCAGGAAAGTGCAAGTCTCTCACAGTTCTCATTCAAGACCCGAGGAAGAGGCAGGGGAAGAGGATCATCTGGTGGAGGCAGAGGAAAGTTTTGTTCATGTCTAAACTCTTGAGATGTCTGGGGCTGTCTGTCATAACCCGCCTAAATCCACATAGCGTCCTTGATGTACATAGTGCCTAATTTCTCCTCTAATATTTGTGGGTTTAGCTTGAGATACCATCAGTGATTGGCTAATGAAGTTAGAAACTCTCAACTATTTTTAAAATATGGCCTCTGGTTTTTAAAGTAATATAGCTGGCTGTGATCTCTGTTCCGTTATATTGAATGTCAAAGTTAATAAGTTTGTTCAGACATTTGGTCATTGACCTGTTATTTCCTAATTAATTGACCTGTTACTTCCTAATTAATTGACCTGTTACTTCCTTCAGAATTAGGAATTTTCAAATGACTTTTGTTTATCAAAGTTTTGTAATAAATTTGTTGAATGGAGTTAAGCTTGAAATTATTTCTAATTGTGTGAGAACAATATTTTTTTTGCACAAGTTATTCCATTCAGTGACTGAGAGGCTGTTAAGAATTGCCCTGGTATGTCATGTCTGGCATTTAGTGTGTCAGGTCTGGCATTTAGTATGTCAGGTCTGGCATTTAGTGTGTCAGGTCTGGCATTTAGTGTGTCAAAGGTAACGAACATATTGTCTTTGCAGGACGAGGGCCCATCATATCAGGGAAGTTGCAAGGTAATGAGAACAAAACAAGCAGCGTTGGCAGAGGATCTGCACGCAAGTTGAACCCACCGCCATCATCAGCAGCTTCTCAGGTCAAGAGAAGGGGCAGGCCCCTGGTATACTTCAATAGCATGACTTCTTCCTCCTCATCTTCCGACCAAAGAACCTACAACAATGTAATGGCTTGCGACGCTATCTCGTGGGATCTATATGGTTAACTGGAGCTCATTTCTACCTGGAACTTCATTCTCATGAAATTTTTAGCTTTTGAATAATGATATATTCCCTTTGAATTATGTTGACCTATTTTGAAAATTTCATTTGTTTGTTGGATTTAATGATCACCAGTTCCAAAATAAGGGGATTTTTTAGTTCATCTTCAAAACAATCAAGGTTTTAGCATTAACATACGTTTGAGCATCACAGATACCAATATTTGTCTTGTGATAACTTCATTATTACCCTAGTTCGGATCCCAAAAAACGTCACTAGTATTCTGGTTAAGATAGCAAAAAACGTCAGTATTATTCTTGTTCAGATCGCAAAACAATCCAGGTAAAAATGTTCTTCATTTCCCGTTATCACTGAGACTTGCTCTCTTGTTTTCTCTGTGTACCGGATGCTTATTTCAGTTCTCGGCTTGAGTTCTGTCCATGTTTATTTTGTTTGCATGTAATGTCTTTGTTTAATACACATCTTCACGGTTGCTATAAAATGTTCTTATTTTTCTTGCGTTGGCTTTCTTTAAGATGTAAATGTTTGCTTAGTATTGAGCTTTTCAGTTGACTAGTTAACATTTTGTTGGGCAACCGATTGTTACGTACCTCATGAAGTGGAAAATAAACGGATTCATTTAATCATAAGCTTTATTTGTTGTTCTCGTGTAACTAATTTATTTTAAGTATACTTTCATACTTTTTTCCTTTTTTTACTTTATTTACTTTATTTATGCATTCTTCACTCATTATTTTGTTTTAGTTGCTTCTGCCTGTTTATGTTCTTGCTACACTGTGCTGCATTATCTGTTGTGTAACCTATAGAATGCTATCATAATCTGTTCATCTAAAATAATAGTAATAAATAATAATTAATAATCCCTTGGGGAAAGTTATTGATGTCGCTAATCTGTCTATGAATTTATTCAGGCTGGTAACTTTGGAACTACCAATTTCGATTAATCTTTTAATCATGATTTCTTTATGCTCTGAATAATTGAATGAGTTTATTTAGTTTCTTACAGATTGAATTATTGTTTCATCTAATCTAAAAATGAAAATCTTGCTGAAAGTTTGAAATTTCTCTATTCTGATATGCAATGCTATCTTGAAGAGTGGAATAGAGGAATTGCAATCTTGAAGAGTAGCTTGCGCCTACTGGCATGAAACGCCACTTATCTGAGGTGTAGGTGCGATGGACGTGAATTCGCTGTACTTATATCCGTAGTACCTTACAGTTATCAAAGGAGTTGTAATATGGTGAGTTAATCGTACTTATATCCGTAGTCCCTTACAGTTATCAAAGGAGTTGTAATATGGTGAGTTAATCGTACTTATATCCGTAGTGCTCTATCTTACCAACAGCCCAAAAGCAACGCAGCTAAAACCCACGACAACAACAACAAGGCTGACACGGCTGATAGCAACAGGACGAAAGGTTTGCTCACCGGCACCTCCTTCTTGATGTCTCCCTCCAAACTCAGCTCAGCTATAAACTACCCGCCACTCAAGAGACAAACCCAGGTATATTTCGGCCTGTCCTTACTCTCTTGATTCCATAACAAATTGAAAGATCGGCAATTTTGGTACGAATAGCTTAGAGCCGCATAGCCAAATTTTGCCCGTTTACCAGGAGAGAGTTTGAATGACATGCTCATTCTGGAAGATCATGCTTTTTATTAATAATTTTCAACCCAAAAATCCAATTGTAATTGTTAGATTGCAGCTCTTAAACATGTTGACATCTTGTTGAGTGTAGTATTATTGACATTTAGTTAGTAATTTGCTTCAAGGATACCTTGATCCTTAAACCAGTCGAATGTACAAAAATGCTCAATTCGAATTCGATTGTTATGGCGGTTTATATTGCAGTGTTGTGGTCGTATACTTCTATTCTTATGCTACCGTTTCTCCAAAGCGTCCGTTTTAACAAATTAATTATTCAAGCACTGATTTTTTTCTTTCTTAAACATTGTATAAGATGCTCTGATTTTAGAATATTCATCATGTATATAATGGTAGTTGAGGAAGATAATGACAGTCGTAAATGCCTAATACTTTCGTAATTTGATTACAGGCGGTGAGACTACCTGAGGGGCCGACGCTCACCCCAGAGCAGCTGAAGGAGATCGAGGCTCAATTTAAGGTACCGTCTCAGCAGTAGATTGATTATTAACATGTTGACTACGTATTGGTACATATGCGTACCATGAAATGTATTTCTCCAGGAGGTAGTGGTACATAATTAAGGTTGACTAAAATCGGCCAAATCCGAGAACAAAAAAGGCCGATAACTCAATATATACTAGTTTATTTGTAGCTTCTGCTATAAAAATTCCATTTATTTTCTTTTTGCAGTATTTAAAATTGAATTAGGAAGTACCCCTATCATAAATTTTAGCTGGCCAACGCAATTGAGAAAAACTAAATCACGGAATTTGTCCGAAAAAAATGACCGTCTGGCAACCCTGTTGAAAAAATGTACAAAAAATGAAATAATAGTAAAAGATGAAGCAATCGTAGGCAACGTGTTAATTATATCTCCTCAAGTCTCAAGTTAAATGACTGTGTATCTACATCAGTTGCGCTTTGTCTAAATCTACAGAATTTTGCTGTGGTCTTCAATTTACAATCATTGTAAATACAATCAGTGTGTAATATCAATTTAAAAGCTTAGTGTTATTTTCTGTAACTTTCTTAAGAGCTCTTCTTTCCGGATATTTTTGCGTTTTTTTAGCATATTTTCTTCTATGAATTAATGAGCAGCTGCACCTTTTGTACCGATAAACATAAAATTGCGTCACTGCTCATGTTAACCGTCCTGTCAATGCCGGCAGAGCGGGGATTTTGTTATGGCCAAGAAAGACGCAGAGCTGGAAAACCCGCCGATCTGGCGCATCGATGGTAAATCCTTGTTGCAAAAATTCCAGGCATTTGAAAAGGACGGCAAAGTTCTCTACAGAAATATTTCCACTGTAAGTATATGATTTTTTTATTTATTATTCTAACTTACTAATTTTTTCCTAGAGTATATTGTTTTTTTTTGCTGCATTTGAGCCGTTTCATTGAAGTGCCTGAATGTTGCAGTTTCTTCAAGGATAATTCACAAATATTACGACATTGACGGCAATACTTTCAGCTTCTTTAATGAACCTAAAAACAATCTTATAAATATTTTGTAAATTGATAAATATTTTTTTAAACCTGGCACCATAAATATATTAATGTTGTTGGTGCGCCTACCTATGACACTTGTCGTATTGTGATATACTTGGACCAGAAATTTTATTCTTAGTGGAAGAATAGTAAGGGCTTGCATAATTAAGAGGAAAGGATTGGACCAAAATTGAAATTTTATTATCTTTATCGATACACGCAGATTTAATTTTAAAGACGCAAAATAGTTCTTCTTTTAAAACCAGTCAGTAGGGAGCTCCATGTTTAATGTAAAATGTTGGTTTGTGCTGGTCTGTCTTAGATTAGCATTGATTAGATTTATTGAAATCAACCGCATTTGTGACGTTGGAATTATTAATGAAGCGAAACTCCGGGCTTAAATAACCTGCTAGTTTACAATAAGATTTATTCTCTACTCATTGAGTCTGGTTGTGTTCAGTTTGATATGTGTAATTTGATTGCATTTCAGTATTCTGGGTGGACTTCACAAGGCAAAGCTCTGTACATGCCCGTAAAAGCAAAGTTCATCTTCCAATCCCGGTACGACATCGTCGTCGAGCTCATCGACGAGAACACCTCGGCCGTCATCTCTCCCGACGACCCCTCACTCCCGTCTCCCCTCGCCCCTGCTAAGACTGCCTCACCCGCCGCCCGACCCATTGTTGCTCTAGGTCTTGAGAAGCGCCCCATTAGGTGTGTTCTACCCACCCATTGCTGCTCTAGGTCTTGAGAAGCGCCCCATTAGGTGTGTTCTACCCACCCATTACTGCTTTAGGTCTTTAGAAGTGTCACATTAGGTGTGTTCTTAATTCCACCAAAATTTCATTATTTTGTCATGGTAGAAAAGTTAAATCGACTGTCTTGTCTGGTCGTGTTTCAACTGCCAAGAACTCTATTTACCTCTACTATATTTGTTGCATTGTGTAATAGAAAATGAGGAATGAACGAACGAATGTGGAAGTATTTCTGCGGGTCTCGGTGTCGTCCCTAATTATCTGTCTTCTAAAGCATGAATGTATTAATTTTTTAGATTACTCCAAGAATATTGTTGTATTTTGTTCATCTCATTTGAACTGATGTATGTATTCATTTCAATTTCGTTATTTTTTGACTTTCATTTATGAATGTGATTTTTTTTCCAGCAATGCTACTCCTCAAGAAGACATAATTGTGTAAGTGTTTTTTGTTAAGTTCCTGCTTGAATATGTTATGTTGAAAGACTTTTTAGTTTATTTTGAAATAGTGTTCTTTTCTCATTTTAAATCGTGTTATTTTCTTATTTTATCCTCTAAATCGTTTTTGAATTAATATTTATTTGTTTGGATTAATTTAGTTTTATATTAAACATTTATTTGCATCATTTATTGCCGTTGGAAGGTGAAAAGCACCCAGAGTACTGGAGTTTGTGTGCACTCGTGTGGTGTGTAGCAGACATTGTGTTCAGACGTTCAAACTAAAACGTGTGGTGTGTGTCAGTCATTGTGTTCAGACGTTCAAACTAACACGTGTGGTGTGTGCCAGACATTGTGTTCAAACTAGCACGTACTGCATGGCGCGATTTAGTTGCCTAGTGTGGACTACATTCCTCTTCTTTTCACAATATTAGTCGACTAAACTTCATATAAATGACGGATAAAGTTAACTTAGATACATTTTTTCCTTGTACTTCCACTTTTAATGTAAGCTGAAACTAATATTCGTTTATTGTTACGAGTAATTTTTGTGGCTAATTCATTGCTATGGTTTGCAGAATACCGGAGGAGCTCAACCAACACTTGGCAACTTTTGAAATTTTCCTGCAAACTTTAATCTCGCAGGCGCTCGACAACAACTTCTTAGCTGAGATTCATAACGAAAATGGTACGTATTTATTCTTATTTATGTACAATCATTAACCTTATCTTCTCAATTGAATGAACGTTATTGGCCCTGATAATTTATCTACACATTTTGTTAGTTAATGAATAATATTTTTGTGCAATTCTTAGCGATGTTGTCTTGTATATGTGGGGTTTGTGCAACGAAGTGTAATCTTGAATAATAATACTAGACACTTTGTAATAGAAGGTCTTTCTCGTAGAAAGTCTCGTATAGAAAGTTATGTGTGCATTTGAAAATCCCTTTTCAGACGAATATTTTGTGGACAGCGTCAAAATAATGGAAGATTTGACGGGGGAAAGAAAGCTTAAAATGCACAACATGATCTCCTGGCCCGAGGCGTTTTGGGTGAGTCCCACCCATTCTCTTAGGATGGTGGCTATGCGTGCCTCTCTTTAACTTATTTCGAGCCATGCACCACGTGTTGTCATAATGAGCTATTTTTTAATGATACAAATTGGCAGCCTGCTTAAACTATTATTATGACTTCTTATTTCATGCATTTTTCGTACTCCGATGACTTGGCACGTATCATGGCTGACGAATGTAGGTGAGCTCGTGATGAGTTTCATTAATTCAAACGAATATGTTTCAGAAATGTAATGTTGCTCGTAATTTTGAATAAAATTCTGGAATTTCTAAAATCATTTAGCTATTTAATTATGTGAAATAATTCACTGCCTTATATTTTCAGGAATCGTTGGAGCGTTGGCCTTCAGTTAACGTAATGTCAAGCAGAGTGAAGAGCAACTGCGAGACTTGCTTTAAGATTGCGGCGAGCAAATTGGCGCTCTTTTATGGGCAACCTTATGATGAACTCACGCTCAAGCCAAAAGAAGACCCCGAGAGAGATGCTCCAAGCAAGGTTGGCTCTACCAGATATTAGTCGGCAAAATATGACATCATAAAAATATATTTACGTTCAATAATCGTGTGAATAACCGATGCGCTCGACATAATTCCATCTTCTTTTTAAAGCAAGATTGTTTATTTATAATGAAATAATAAAGTGTAGTCTAAGTAAATTTGTTCTCAAATACACTATTGGAGCTTTTCTTGTGCATAACTGAGCTTTTTAGCAATATTTTACTGATCGAGGCTGATTATTAAACAGAACTTCAACGTGTGCGAGCCCTGCGCCAAGCTATGTGAATTGTACAACACACTGTGTCATCGCAAATACGCATACTATAACGAGTGCAAGAAAACCGTCACCAACATCAGGATGTCTCAGCCGTCCAAAAACACCACCACCATCCTAAGAGAGCTACTCAGCATTGACTCCTGGATTACTGGTGTAAGTACATTAACACGTTGACTACGTATTGGTACATATGCGTACCACGAAATGTATTTCTCCAGGAGGTGGTGGTACATAATTCAGGTTGCCTAAAATCGGCCAAATCCGAAAACAAAAAAGGCCAAAAAAGGCCGATAATTCAATGTACACTAGCTTATTTGTAGGTTCTGCTATAAAAATTCCATTTATTTTCTTTTTGCAGTATTTAAAATTTAATTATGAAGTACCCCTATCATAAATTTTAGCCGGCCAACGCAATTGAGAAAAACTAAATCACGGAATTTGTCCGGAAAGATGACCGTCTGGCAACCCTGCTTAAAAAAAAGTACAAAATATGAAATAATAGTACAAGATGAAGCAATCGTAGTCAACGTGTTAACAACGTCTCGTAATCTTGAACTTTTTAGGTCTTAGGATTGCGCTGTGCTTGTGTTTCTCGGAATATATGTTGTGGAGTTTGAAATTTCCGTTTTTACATAATTGGCTATTGGCGTCCAACCGGTTATTTGCACAGCCAAGGAGAACGCCCACTGGAGTCCTAATGTAAGATTGATCGGGGTTATTCGGTTCTGTCCATTGCACATATAATGTGCCAAGAGTATATCCAAATTAGAGTGAAAATATTGAGAAATTTTTCATATAAAAGTAACATTTTCAAAAGTTTTATGTTAATTTCGTTGCTATCTTGTTGAAATAAATTAGCCCAGATGCTCTGGATGCCAGGCAAATTTTTAACACTGTTAATTTTATTATTTAATATAATAAAATATATTTAAGTCTTATTATTTTTGCAGCTGTTTCGTAGCATGTGCACCACCTTCGTGCGCGTTGACCGGATGTTCGAAGAGCATGAGAGCCAACCCTCGCCTCCAAACACTTCATCGTCAGTAGTCAAACCTGAGCAATCCGCCTCCGCGCCTACGGGACAGTCGTGACCAACCTCATCAAAAATCATTTCAACACATCACATTTAAATAAATAGTTTATTCGAAACAAGTGCTCGGAATGCATCGATAGATTTTTTTGTGTAGATCATAATTTTTTATTTGTAATTGCTGAACTTTACTTTATCGCGGAATGAATGGTCTGGTGTGTGTGAAGACATTTTCATTTTACGCTTCATTTACAGGAATACTGATTCTTTTCAGTGATGAATTAATTTCTAATTTTAATTACTGTAAAATTTGGATTCAAATTGTAATCTTTGTGAAGATTTTTTCTGTTCATCTGGCCTGAACGACTATATAATCCGTTGGTTGTAGTTACTCAGAATTATAGCATTTGTTAGCGTCATTACGTTATTGGGTGCAAGTATTAATTGGAAATTTAGGTAGTAAGTGAAAATATGGGAACCAATTCTGCGTCACTTCCAGAGGCGTGCAAAACCATTTGCGCTCGATCAAAGCAGAAGTTCTATGTGAAGCGTCTATTTCAAGCCTTTTTTTATACGATCGCCTCATCTTGATGAGTTTATGTTATGTTAAAGTTCTCCTTGATCACATGCACGCATCAATTAGCTTCGTCTCATTCATTTCAACTGAATTGTTGGGCACATCTTACTTGTTAAGCCATCGTTGCAAATGAAATATTTAACTTGTGGCCGATTATTGACGCGATGTCTCACGGCAATCGACGAATGCCACCCCATTACCAACCACAAAGTTATTTTATGACGTGTTCTTGTTATATAATTCTCAGGCATTTGATTCAGGTCAATTTCTGTTGAGCGAAATCATTGTTATTAACAATAATAATTGATTTTAATTTAATTCTGAATGTTAAAATTCTGGTTACTGTTACCGTATACCTAATTGTTTGATATTAAATAGTCCTAAAGATCATTTGTTGGCGGTGTCATTTGTTGGCAGTGTTTTTTTACTGCTTTATCCGTGTTCGATTTCATCGTGACATCTTTCCACTCCGGTCGTGATACTTGCAGTTATTCTAGAGCTCCGCTCGGGTCGTGATACTTCGTGAGCAAGTTACTTTGTTCCTGCTACTATCACGAGCAGCCATTGCTTACGGTCTTGGTGGATGATAAGAAGCACCACAATATTATTATGATTTTATTGATCCTTCCATATATGATTATGATTTTATTGGTAATATTCGTTATTAAGCTTCACTCGTAACATTAATTTTTAGCAATATTTTTTCAAGCAATTCGCTATTGCTTGAAAATTGCTACATGCTAATGTAGAATTATTAATTGGACGTGAATACATTTCACTCGTTCTGGAATATATCATATTCATTATACGTTCGTCATTACGGCATTACGTGCTACTACTACATTACTACTACTACTACTACTACTATTTACTACTTCCAACCTTATACTTTTTTGCTTGGGTGGTTACTGGAGATGTGTTCTTCCAATTAACATTGATCACTTGTTGAGTATAAATGTTGAATTTTGTTATCTTTATTCGTAGTTAGGTACCCAATACACGTTTTGCCCAGACGTACGCTTTAGGGTTATATTATTGCAAGGAACAGGAATTTAGGCATATTATTATGTGGGATAGGACTTGTGTGCATATTATCCTGCGTCTGAAGATTTCACCATCCTGTTTGATGAGGCTGGACAAAGTTTTTTGGAACTTCAATTCGTAGGTGTGGTCTAGTTTAGTTCGAAGATGTTTTTTAGCTCATTTTTTTATCTAATTTCCTCAGGGTTTGAATGCTTGGGCCTTGGGGTGAGCAGTTAAATTGTAAAAAATTTTCTCTGTTATGGCTTTAAAGTGGCTCGACTTGCTTCATGCGTGTAGCAAGCAACGGAAATTCTTGTGCTCCTCTTAAGGAGAGAAAATTCTATTATAGATGCTATATTTTACGTAGTTAAGAATGCTTTTTTTCTCTCTAATTTGCATCTGATCTTCAAGTTTGAATAGTATATAAATATTGGTATTCTTGTTTTCTTATATTCTTATCGTCCATCATGGCAGTGCGCTCAATCGAGCTGCTTCGCAATAAGAATGCTCTCGGGATTTATTTTACGGGTTACGTTCGTTTAGTTGTAAAGTTCTTACAAATCAACTTCAGGTGAGAAGGACATTTTGTGTTTCAAAAACTTAAATATTGGAAACTCGTTATAAGCAGTGAAAACTATCGTCAGTCATGAAAAAATCCGGTCAAATAACACGATTTTAGATCTACTGTAAACAAGGCACGAAAAGGAAAAGAATCTGCGACAGGCCGCATCAGGCCTACGCTTCAGCGCCAAGATCATTCACTATGTTATGTACTTATGTTATGAGGGTGCCAAGTGATATTTAGCGTGCGGTGGTCTTGAAGAATTTAAGGGAGGGTTAGTATATAAATCTGAAAGCAGCTACGCAAGATATAGGACTGAAAGTTTCTATAGATATGTACGAGTATGTGTATTCACTCCGGCTTATTCGCTTGCCTACAAAAGTCGATTATATTCGTATGACCCTCGTACACACCAAAACACGTTCCCGTTTTCATCAGTCGTTAGACATCTAACATGCTTATTAATTCCAAGATGAACATACTATCAAAAGATTTTCCTATTTTAGTTTGGACTAGGCACTTTCGAATATTTTTGAATTCTTAAGTCTACTCTCATATTCTCAATATAATTTTATTTATACATCGAAACTTCTGTTAGGTGAGGTGAGGAGATATTTTTCTAGTTTGGTTTGCTGACCGTCTTGTGGGCTCCTGTCATAAAATTACTGTTACAACCATAATAAATGGTTGTAACAGTAATTTTATAATACACTGGTGTGTTTATTGTTTCTTTAAAATTATGTAGGATCGTACGAGTTTAAACTGCGTAAAGTTCTCAACTACATAATAACGCCAACTTCTTTTGGCATCTGCCAGTGGATCACTCAACGATGTTTGTCTATCATCGGTCTCGGTCTTCTCTTGTTCGTTGCGCTTCTTCCAGAAATTGTTCATCCAATTTATAAGCGCACCACGCTTGCACACAAGAAAGCACTCTTTGCACAAGTAAACTACGTGTAAATTTTTCTTCATGCGAGACGAAAAGAATCGACATATTGACGTAGGGAAGTAGCTGCGAGATGAGGTAAGCAAGATAAATAGGTAGGTGATGTATTAGTCTTTTAAGCTTACTGCCAAAAAATCACACCGATTTATTTTCGTATTAATTTCTTCAAGTCGCTTAATTATAAGTTTCTCTGAATTTGTCGATTCCGTTAAACGTTTATCAAACACGTTTTAAAAATAGTTTTACCTCAAAACAGCAATACGTTTTCTTACGAAAAGAAAACGATTTGCTCCTTTGTGTGTTGTCGAATTCTTATATAAACTAGTTCGTTTCGCTGCAAATTTTCAGTTTTACTCATCATATACGTATAAATTAAGAAATACTGAAGTAATAAGAGATAATTGATATGATTTTTTACCAGTTTCTTAGTAATGGTTATTTTAAAATCTATTTGAAGCATTTTGCCTGGATTTGAATTGGTATTATTACGCACTACCACTTGTTGTGTTCGGAGTACAGCGTTTATTTACATCATTGATAGCTAAAGGAAGTGAATGTGATGGTGTGAGATGTTCTGTGAAATTCAAGTTTTATCAACAAATGTGTAATATGACATTGAAATGGCTGCCAAGTATGGCAAAGATGCATCTAAAGAAATATGTTCGGTGCCAACGACAAGCATCCATAATAAAATACTCGAAGACGGAAATACCATAAAAACGGAAGACTGTTTCAAGACGTCTAATGGAAACTTGAAAGATTTAAAATCGAATGAAATAAATTGCAGTAAAAATGGCAATGCAAAGAGCGCAAGCGCAACAAACTTGACCATATCGACCCCCCGCGTACCTCAAAACCAACGCGGCGTGGGGGCCATTGAAGCACTAAGTAAAGATCCCCTCGTAAAAACCGATTTGATAGGCTCAGATCGTTCGAGGAAGGATGTCATCACAGAGAATGGTGTTAGAAGTTCCTCAAACACTCATCTAGTACTCGACTCAAAGAGTGTTGTCGCTGCCTCTAAGTTTCCTACGCCCATAAACCCCAGTCAATTGCCAATAACATCTGAGATATTGTGTGTCACAACAAATACTAGCAGCAGTGGTTATAACACTACTTCGACGTGTCAAGTTGCTACCTATTCTGATGCAAGTAAATTATACAACAATTCTGTTCCAAAAGTATCTCTAGTTTCCAATGGACATCCAACATCAGCTTTGCAACCTGTAAATGGACAAACTTATTATTCAGGTCATGTAAAATATGAGCCTCCTCCAATATACTCCAGAGGAATATTATGTGATTCTCCACACTGTTCTAATAGCATTTCAAGCCATAATTATCTTAGCAACAAATTACATGGTGATTCTACCATAAATAAACAAATTGAAAATGACGAGGTGATCATAAAACCTCACTCATTGGCGAACTTAAAGCTGCATACCTATGAAAATGTTGCTCAATGCCATAATCATAATGGAGTAAGCTGCAATGATGCTATAATGATAATTGAAAATAAATATGCAAGCACAAGATCAAGTGTCAGCTCCTTTGATTCTAAGTTTTCTAGCCCAAGAAGTAGTCTTGTGAATAGTCATAATATTTCAAGTTTGGAAAGAAAAGATTCCAATAAGCAAATCTGTGATCAATCATCATTAGGCAGCTTTAGTCCAAATAATGTGCCTGTCTATAAAAGCAGTTCCCATTCTTTGAATTCTTCACCCTTAAACCTGAGCCATCAGTTGCCTCCCCGTATTGAACAAGATCTTGAAGGGCGACAGTTTCTAATACCAAGAAATAATGCTTATGTTGAAGAAAATGCAAGACAAAGTGGCCACTGGAGCTACCCTGTAGGAACAAGGGGATACTACAGTAATCAATACCAACAAAGCTTCTGCCAAACTCCTACATGTTGCTTATCCCACCCGTGCTGCACGCCGGTGTCCACTCCCATTGCTACACCGAGCCCCACATCTTTCAATCCACCACCACCATATCCTGGGAAGCCTACAAGCAGAAGTTCATTATCCAATAGTGTGGATCTGAATGATTCAGTGCTATCTCTTGGAAGTTTGCGCAGTGCCTCTGGTGTTCTTGCATCAGTCAATGCTAATCACAACTATGCAAATATAGATGTTTTGAAAGGCAATTATAATGCAGACCAACAATTGAAATTGCAATATCAATATAAACACAATTTTTCTGGCACTGATAAATCCTTGACAACCACATTACCAGCTCCTCCCCCCTATCCTTCATCTGCTCTACAACAAAATAAATCTCATCTTTTGATCAAGCAGCCTCTACAACCCTTGCAAACACAGTTATGTGGTTCATCATGTCGTTTAAACTGTCCTTATAGTAATAATCCTCCTGTTTCTGCTGGGCCTGCTGGCAGCATTTCTTTTTTGAGTGGCACCTCAACTGCCACCTTCAGCTCACAGAAAAGTGTCCCGCCTCCTCCTCCTCCACCTTACTCCTCTAATGTAGTGAGATCACAATTATTGAGGCCAAGCAATCATTCTGGACCTTCACTTCCCCCATACCCGTCCAGTGCCGTGAGAGGCCTTGCCACTGCCTGTAATACAAGACCCATACACCATCATTTTGTGAACCCCAGTGAGCCACCAGCTATCCCTTATTCTTCACAAGTTGCTCGGCAATTGATATCTAAAAAATCGGCCATGAGCAATCCAGACAGCAGCAGTGATAGTAATCCCAAATGCAATAATCCAGACTCTCTGACTGGACAAATGAACAACATGAGCTTGTCCAATGATCCTGCTCAAGCAACTGCATCCGACCGTCTGAGCAAGTGGCAAAGTAAACTCAACCCATCATTCAAAGATGGTGAGGACGGCAGTGTCACAGCCTTATCTGCAGCTGGAGGTTCAACAAGTAGTGGAGGGGAGGCAAGTGATACAGCTTCTGAAAAATCTGCAGTTGGATCTGACAAGTCAAGAGCAAAGAAGAGTGGAAAGTCTCTTCTGCCCTACAATGTCACTGCTAAAACTATGGTAAGTATTGGTGCATTGTAATGTTAATTGTTTTGAACTTTATGTTTCCACAGATTTGATTTGAAATTGTGAAGAGACATATTTTGTTGCAGATTCTGTACAATATAGTAGTATATAGAAGTACTTGTCTCTTAGTTGAATTAGAAGGAGATTGATTTTTTTAAACTAAAAATATTTGTTGAATTGAGATTAAATGTTTTATAGCTTCTCATGCATAAAGATTAATGTTTCATGGCAATTCTGGAAGACCAATATATATCCTGGTTTTCACTCAGGAAAGTGTTGCAATCCTGTCAATTATACAAAGATAAAATCTGTTAGTTGTCAAAAATTGAATTAATTTCATAAGTATATTAATGGAGCAGCATTGCCTTAAATGGTTATAGGAATACTTAACATTTTAGCATTATCTCTAAACGTACACCATGTTAGAAACAATCAGAACCTGACATATTTTAATAATTGTATAAATTGTTATTGTACTCATAATAAATGTTTAATCAGAATAAATTTTGCGCAGATATTCCAAGAAGATATATTATTTAAATGTTCTAAAGTTTCTTGTTGCTAGAATGTCTCTTGCTAGTGTCACAGTAACTGCCTGAATGCCTGGCATGTTGAGAGATTTGGCCTTCAAAGTTGATATTATTACATACCTCAGGAAGATGAGAAAAACAATTATTCAGAAAAGTGCAGTTCTGGCAAAACCATCAGGCTCTAAATCAAGTCATTGGATCGAAAACAACTGTAACTTGAATCAGAACAACGCTCAATGAATGACTGAACTATTGAGCTTCCACACATTTTTTTTAAGTGTAACAGAAATCAAGATTCCATGGAATCTTGGTGGGACAATATCGGCAGACAATAATGTGAATTGGTTCATCCAGCTGAGGCAAAATGTAATTTTTCTGTAGAAAATCAACATTAAACTTACGTTTGACCTGAAGTCATGGGTTCATTTGCACACAGTAAAAAAAGTTAATCCTGCCAATATCTGCCACTGTACTGAAATAATTAGAGGCAGCTATGGTACCACTAAAGAGTTGGCTAGAGATGCTAAAATAATTATAAATTCACATAAATTACTACCTCACCGGATTGATGCAGTACCTGCAGCAAGAGGTTTGCTCATATCATGCTTGAGAATTTTGCCAATATGTTCCCAAGGTGTACGGTACCAATATTTTGTTCTACCTTTGTATGTCTGAATATTTTACATAGTTTTGGTGAGTGAAAACTGAGAAGGGTGTAAGAGTGGCACCTCTAAAGATGTTTCTGTTCTATTCTGAACTTCAATATTCAGTTTAGCGATTTAGCCAATGCCTGGAATGCTGAGGTCACTGAGGCGACCTTTCCCTGCTGCGGTTCATCCAGTGTCAGTGCTTTACTCCTCTGCTATTTCCTGTGTTCAGTATTCCCACTTCTTCCATGAAAACAGACGTGGACGAAACTCACTCGACCATTTTTCGTTTAGCATACAAATACTGATATGGCTTAGCCTGGCACATCTGCCTATTGAAACGAAACGCGCTGTATTTAAATCGCAATGAGTTGAATCCGATCAGCAATCGCATCAGCAATCTCTGGATAGCATAGGAAAATTAATGTTGATGTGTTCAGCAAAGGTTAACTTACGAATTTTTTTATAACGCATGTCCACGAAATGTCAATGTTGAATGTCTCTTTAGCATTGATGTCGGCGCTACCGTGTCAGTGAATGTGGAGAACTTATCGTTATAATGACTTCCATTTTTATCTCGCTTCAAAGCCTCTTCCCCGTTCTTTGACAAGAAATTTGATTTTACTGTTTGAAATTGCAGAGTTTAAAGAACATTCATTCACAAATATCAATAAGGATTGTTGCAAGGCTAAAACGGTCGCGTATTATTTCGCTGTTATTGTGGTTTGCCGATTTAAATTCAGTACCACTTAAATGTGTAAAATTGTGGCATTTATGAGCTGATGTGTTTAGAGGATGCTTTTTTCTAAGCATTCTTTACATATTTAGCAAGTCTCAACATTGAAAACAGCAGTGAAACGAGAAAACTTGGTTGCATCATCGTTAATATCTACACGCTAGTCTCTCGAATGAATATTTTTGGTGATTCTGAGATTTCTGGATGGACTTTGTGTGCAATTGCATAGCATTAGAGCTCAGGGCGCCGCCTCGGTGTAGGCAATGCGTGGCTGAGAGGCCGCGGCGCGGGACCTTGACTGCATTCCGGGCCGCGAGGCCCGCGTGTGCCCCGAGTGTGGCGCTGCTACACGCGCACCACGCGCTGCTACACGCGCTGCTACACGCGCACCACGCGCTGCTACACGCGCATCCACGCGCTGCTACACGCGCTGCTACATGAGCACCACGCGCTGCTACACGCGCACCACGCGCTGCTACACGCGCTGCTACATGAGCACCACGCGCGGCTACACACGCTGCTACATGAGCACCACGCGCGGCTACACGCGCTGCTACATGAGCACCACGCGCTGCTACATGAGCACCACGCGCTGCTACACGCGCATCACGCGCTGCTACACGCGCACCACGCGCTGCTACACGCACACCTCGCGCTGCTAAACGCGCTGCTACACGCACACCTCGCGCTACTACACGCGCACCACGCGCTGCTACACGCACACCACGCGCTGCTACACGCACACCACGCGCTGACATCCACGCACTCTCTCCTCCACGCACGCTCTTCTACACGCACGCTCTTCTCTACTCGCGCTCACCTCACAAAGGCTCTCAAATTATGTGATCGTTGCTGTTGACTCATTTAAGTTTTATCAGAAATATGAGATGATGACAGTTGACTGAGTTACGTTGAAGTTTTCATTACAAGCTTACAGCTGACGCCCAGGCTGACATTACATCACGGCAGTGACCGCGACCACTGCCGCCCGCGCGATCGCTCAATGCCGCATTCCCGTGACTGGCGGCGCATTCCCGTGACGAGCGGCGCATTCCCGTGACGAGCGGCGCATTCCAGGGACGAGCGGCGCATTCCAGTGACATTAGCGTACGCAGCTCGCAGCGCATTAGCATACGCAGCTCGTAGCGTATTCTCATGCGAGCTGTGCGTTCCAGACGTTCTTTCTTTATTTTAGGCCTAGGTAGTCATCAGGTAGCAGGCAGGTGGTGAGCTACCACCTTAGCTGTCTATGTTCGCTACTGCCGGGCCTCTGGACATCTGTCTTTACTGCTGCCTCGCTTACTGCCTTTGCTGCTGCCTGTTTTCTGCCTCTGCTGCTGCTTCGTTTACTGCCTTTGCTGCCGCTTCGTTTACTGCCTTTGCTGCTGCTTCGTTTACTGCCTTTGCTGCTGCCTGCTCTCTGCCTCTGCTACTGCCTCGTTTGTTATCTTTACTGCTGTCTCGCTTACTGCAGTTAATGCTGCATCGTTTCTTGCCTCTATACTGCTGCCTTGCTTCCTGCCGTTACTGCTACCGGCCTCTACACTCGCCCGTCGTTGCTGTTGAATGTTCTTGTAATCCCTGGGGATGTTACCTCTTGGCAGTTCCTTACGTACTGAGACTGCTCGCTGTTTGTCGCTTAATTTGTCCGTGATTTAGTGTTGAAAAGCATAAAAATATCCTCCGACTGATTTGTCTGCTGCAAGAAAGTGTTGGAAATCGTCGCGTGCTAACGTTTATTTTATTTGTTTGGCAGTGTTGAACTTACCGTTTTTTAAGCTATTAGTTGTCGGAAGTTGAAGTTTACAATGGCATGATTCTTCTTGATCGCTGCTAGAAGTCGACCTTCATTATCTCCTCCGTTTATGATTTGCTGCTCTGGAACTGGTCACTCGTGGTCGCAAGTGGGTTTTGTTCTCATATTTTTATTACTTCCTCGCTTGAAGGTAATACCTTTCACCATTCAATTTAGTTTCGATACTGTATATGAATGTTATTATATTCTGATATCAGAAATTAGCTATACCAGCCGGCCCATAATTCGACCTAGCGCTGCTTTATTAGGCTGATAATGAAGTGACGTCGATCTTATGATCGCGTTTGCACTTCGGCATGATTCGGATAGCAATTAGCTTTTACTTGACGATTCAGGAAGCATTTAATGCATGTCTCGTCAGCACTCATTTTCTGTACGGTTAAAAAATCAGCTGACTACCTCTTCTGACAGCCCTCATTCCTTATGCTGCTTGCTCTGAATACTCGTTTTTTCTCGAAAGGTTCATTTTTAGCGCATTTTCTCATTTATGGAAAAAATGCACTATTGTGCTCGCCATGTCCGTCTGTATGTCTGTCCGTCCGTCCGTGACCTCAAGTTTTCGGCGACGAGAAAATGCGCTCGCTGTCACTCACTGCAGTGAGTACTGAGTTATATTTTTTTCAATCAGCGGACGTAAGATGTGGAGATACATTTTGCTTGTACATTAGAAATGCCTTCGTTCGCTAATATTAATTATTACAATTAACCTCTCGAAAAACTGTCTTCCCACCATCTTCATTGTAAATGAGTTCGACTCGTGCAGATAAATTTTTCTTTGTGCACATCTAGTGATGTACACGTTTGTTGTACTGCTTAGCTGATCCACTGATCTCTACGTATTTGGCTTATGGATAAATATGATTGATTATTGACAATTTACTGATAACATGTTAATTATTCGTTTGATAGAATGAAGATCAATGTCATAACTGTTCCTTGTTATAGGCATAACTGCTCGTTGATATAGGCTATTTTTTGTTACAGACATAACTGTTCATTGTTATAGGCATAACTGTTCGTTGTTATAGGCATAACTGTTCGTTGTTATAGGCATGACTCTTCGTTGTTCTAGGCATAACTGTTCGTTCTTATAGGCATAACTTTTCGTTGTTATAGGCATAACTGTTCGTTGTTATAGGCATAACTGTTCGGGTTTATAAGTATAACATTTCGTTGTTATAGGCATAACTGTTCGTTGTTATAGACATAACTGTTCATTGTTATAGGCATAACTCAGTTGACGTAGACATCTGTTTGTTGTTATC